TCCTGCTGTGAGGGCTCGACTCCCACCGAGGCCGCGAGTTTTTCACAATTGGGTTAACTGAAACATTTGGATCTTACATAGTTCCGCAATCTTTTCATTTATCGGCCTTTGTGTATTGGTTAATAACAAGGGAATGGAAGTTCAGTTGCATACTTTGGTTGATGTGCCCTTTGAAAGACCGTCTGCGCATAGGTTAGACAAGTAACGCATTTTGATTGGGCAGCTTAACGAAAATCGTTGGTGCTTTACGCTTGGAACATTTCTTTGTTGCATTTTTAGCCAGAATCAGAATTTTATACCTTTGTAAAAAGTATGGCTACCATAAGAATGTAATGGAAACTCCGAAGAAGAGAATCCTTATTTGGCCGATTTCGTTAATGACATAGTAATCTCTTGTTAGCAAATGTTCAGCGTCAAAAAATGGTCTGCCTGACGTTTGGAAACCATACAATCGGTTGCCAGATTGTGTGCATTTTAATAGCTGCGAATTATTTGGCTAATGACCAGGCGTCGAACCCAAATGTGATCATTTAGACCACTTGTTGCTTAGAATAGTGTACCGAATGATTTTGAGGCGGTTGCGAAGTAAACACTTAGTGGAAAGATTCGTCTAAGTAGTATTTTTCTACCTTCCATTCCTGTACAGTTCCCTCCATTCGATTCGGTCCGACCCAAGTTTTGGAGTAGCCTGTAAAACTTGTGCAACAAGTGGGCCATGGTTTATGCAAATTAGCCTTCTAGGTACTTATGATGGTGGTATTGGGAAGCACATAGGGAAACCTATTATTAAGTCTACATACATAGACAAAAGTACTTTTGGTAAATATTCTATTCTCAGTCGTCTTCGTGAGTGCCAGCTAGCTAGCCACGATTTATATTAAGCCATGGTTTTTTTACTCATAGGCACTGCGTTCTGTTTCGTTGATTGAAATTACCGTCTGACCAAGGTCTACGGTTAATATGCACAACTGGGCGCTTTAATACGGTTACTTAAGAGATTTGTTTTTAAGAAGAAGCGGATGTGATCGCTGGGACAAGAATTATATTCGCCTGACGTTTCGAAGTCCGTCGCGGATCCATCATCAGATACGCCTAATTAGTGCACAGGGAGTTGCAGTATTTGTAGACTACAGTCTCTCTGCTAACGCATACTTATGACCATTAACGGCTCCCACCTATCGAAGGTAGTTTCCCGTCTGTGCGCTAATCGCCTGATGGTCGGCGTGCGGCACTGAACATTAATCGCACGTGGATTTGGGCGTGATGATGGCTCTACCATCTGGCTCCCTGACGCAGGCATTAGACGATGCGTTGGCCTGTGCGTTACCCGGGTGGCGAATCGATTCGACTAAACTGAGCCCCAGCCCCGAATATGTGTTGGAGAGGCCGTTGCACTTATTTATAGACTGGGAGCCGTGAATCATGACTGAATTAATTCGCGACTCACATGAGTGTCACCTATCGCGGGAAGTTCGGCCTTATCAAATGTGAATATGTGGCCGGGTTTCGTCGGAGGAGCCGCGACGTGAAAATTGACTTAATTTCTCCGCACTGCTGCCGCGTGTTCAGCAATTCGGGTCTTCAGAAGTCTTTCAGTTTCTCCGACGTAGTTGTTTTGCTCGCAACTACACCAGATCCTATAAACAACTCCAGATGTTTCTTGCCGCCGCAATGGGTCTTTTGGTTTCATTATCCGACACCTTATGGTTGCTTCTGGCCTCTGTGCGATTCCAACTCCAAAATGTGCGAGAAGGCGGCCGACGGCCTCCAAGACGTTTTTTGACGTATGGAATCGCTTGCCATCTTGACGCTTGTTTCATTTGCGGATAGCCATTTTCTCTGAACAGCATTTCAGCAACTTTCTTTTTCGTTCCTTGAGATCTCGACGGAATAGATACTAACTAGGATCCAGTACCATGGGTAGCGGAGAGATTAGACATACAGATTGCAATCAAACCCTGAGCAACAGTGAATTTACAGTACTGGAAAGTGCCACCCTACAAAATTGCTGTAAACATGCATGTTTTCACACAGATTTATTGCATTTGTTTCTCCCTGTAGAGACGCCGGCCTACCTGGTGGACCTTATGCACGATAAGAACAAGGAAATCCGTCGTATCTGTGACGCTACTCTGAGTCTGATTTCTGTAAGCACGCTTTTAACCGCCACTCCTGTCTTCTGGCAAAGTGTTCGCACGACCTTTTGGATTTTATTTTATGAACAAGTGAGTGTATTGCAGGGAGTCAAGTTAAGAGATTAAAATCTGGCAGCTGCGATCTTCAGGCCCGGTTCCTTAAGAAAAGAGAGGACATGGAAGGCCAGATTGGTAGGTACAGTTTATTCTATACAGAAGGGATGGAGTATAGATAAGAGGAAGTTGACTCTCGGACGAGTGTAGTCCGCTCCCTAGCGGGGTGGCATCCTGAGTGCGTCTGCTCGGCAGTCGTCGCATGAGGTCCGGTGTGAGTCAGCCACAGAGAGCTGATTAGCCAGACTTGGTGAGGCGGACGTTGGTATGTGCGCACGTTGGCAGGAGTGAGTGTTGATGCAGTGTTGCCGCATCTGTGACTGGCTGTCCTACGGGCGACCGAGTCTGCCATCGCATGACATGAAGGGGCGCTAGCGGGCCACTACAGGTGTTCTGGCTTACAAATTATTTTTTATCCCGTATTCATTTGGTGAATTTTGGCGTTTGAAAACTGTTCTTTTCTCTAATAGCTACAAAGTGTTTCAAAGTTGCACATTATTTCTGCAATCCTGTTAGCTTAAAACTAATGATCAGAGGTAGCGCAACATCCGCCTATTTGGTAGATATGCTAATGAAATGGTTGCTGGTCACACTGCCAAAGAAAAGGCTCATCTCCAA